ATTTTCTCAGGAAACAACACTGCATAGAATATTAAGACTTGTTTTCACAGACTGTGCATTGAATATAAGTTTATTTTGTGTTACTGCACTGGCAGATTTTTTTTAAAAATCTTGTATTGTTTTTCACTTGTTTATACTTAAAATGGAGCAACTTGGAGTAGCAACACCATCAAATCTGTCATATACTTTCAAAGCACAAAGTTTGTTTTCTTAATCTTGTGAGATGCCTTTCCATCCATTATAAATGGTGGTTTTGATAGTCTGACATCTGACATTTCAACACTTCCATGTTTTATACTGCCTTTCATCACAGTCGGAAAATGATAGACTGATGTCAGCAGATCCATCAGCACCCACATGTCTGATCCGCATCCAAGAGACAAATAAAGGCAGCAGTTTATGTGGGCATAATTCCAGCGATTGTTTGCTTAGCTGGAAATTTCTGCTAAAGTGATTACTGCTCACATAGCTTTTAGGCGATTAACCATTAAGGTAAGTTTCAGGATAGCCACATTTAATAAATGAATAAAACAGCACCTCAAAGTACTCTAAGCCTTATGAAACATTTGGACAGACTTTGTTCACGTCATGGTGGAATGATTAGTCAAGCTTTGTTAACAGAGCAACATTAATAAAACTACAGACGCCAAAAGAATGTAATTCAGCGTAGTATTAACCTGCATTTTGAAAATTGCATTTGGTGAATTCAAGACCAGACTGACACACACCAGGACTCAAAATGAACATACGGCTCCCTCTAGTGTTCAACACACGCTTTGCAGGCTGACATATTTATATCTTCACATAAGTTTATACTTGGTCTTCAATGCCAAACACATTCATCTTTTGAAACAAACCTCACAAGTTACTGTTGATGGACACTGAAGACTTTTTCAAGGTTTGCTTTTTTCTGGCCAAAAATATATTTAAAAAATATGCTAAATATATGCAAATATTTAAGTGAATATATTTAAATACAGTTAAAACTTCATATATAACAAGATGAAACAAGAAAATACATTTCCAATCTTAAAATACATAAAAATCCTTAGATTGAATATATATAGAAATATAAGTAATGCATCACGGTTGCCACAATAATTTTAAGTAGCACAACTGTTTTCAACATTAACAATAAAAATAAATGTTTCTTGAGCAGCAAAGCAGCATATGAGAATGATTTCTGAAGGATCGTGCGACACTGAAGACTGGAGTAATTATTGCTAAAAATTCAGCTTTGCTATCAGGAAATAAATGACATGTAAAATATATATATTTAAATAGAGAACAGTTCTATACATTTTAGTAACATTTCTCAGTATTACTGTTTTTTCTTGTATTTTTTATCAAATAAATTCTGCCTTGGTGAGCACAAGAAACTTTAAAACATTAATTCAAAATATGCATCGAAATGAGGCAAGAAAATATATTTCTTAAAATACATAATCAAAAATACACGTTGGACAATTTCTTCGTATTAATAAGTAACCTAACTAAAACTTACCAAACATATATTAAAATATATCTGATAGTATATTTATTTTTGCCATATAGGGATAAAAGTATATTTCTTTACATAAGTGTTTCTATGTGTGTGGCTGCATCCGTGTGGGCTTGAGATCATAGATTAACTCGCTTTTGCAGCTGTGTCTGATCTTTATACATGCTAGCGGCCGCACAGTGTGTTAAGTGCCCCCTTCAGCTGTCTACGACTCTCCCCTGAGCCCCAACCACTTACCGGAGACTGGGGAGGCCAAGCTCGACTGCCTCTCCACATCCACCGAGTGCTTAACAACCAGCGGCTAAAAAACGCTCGTACGTTAAATTGTAATGCTTCTTCAGTGTCATTGATTTCTTGTCGCGCCCCCTCAGCCAGGCGAAATACTAATGGTGGTGGTCAATAAAGCACATGAACTGGAAGTTCTCACTCTTCACTTCTATCAAACTCAGCCCTAAAAATAGCCGTCACATTCTGCATCACCACCAGCTTACTTAAAGGAATAGTTCACCCAAAAATGAAAATGTGCTCACTCACAGGTCGTCCAAGATGTAGATGAGTTTCTTGATCTGAACAGATTTGGAGAAATGTAGTATTACATCACTTGCTCACCAATGGATCCTCTTCAGTGAATGGGTGCCGTCAGAATGAGAGTCCAAACAGCTGATAAAAACATCACAATAATCCACAGGTAATTCACACCACTCCAGTCCACCAATTAACGTTTAGTGAAGCGAAAAGCTGTGGCATTTTAAATTTAAGGCATTTTAAATTAAAACCATCGCTTCTTGACAAAACAAGAGTCCATAATCCATAATAACGATTCCTCCAGTGAAAAAGTTCATTCTCTGTTGTCCTCTTACGTCACAATTCACCAACATTTTTATTTAGAACCGTTTTGGACTGTTTTCGCTTGTAAATGGTGCTTGATCTGTGCATATTTCTTTCCTGATTCAGATGAGACAATGTTTCACTGGAGAAAGCAATATTATGGGCAGAGGACTCCGTAAGCAACAGTTTGATGTTAAAAACATCTTCATGATTCATTTGTTTCTTACAAACACACAGCTTTTCGCTTCACAAGACATTAATTGATACTTGTGAATTAATGTGATGCTTTTATCAAATAAATTATCTGTCGCTACTTCTATTACATTGCAACATTACATACACAATTCTTCATTTGATGTCATAAAAATGTATATCAATTAATTAATATCAACTTATCCTGAATGTTGCTTTGTACATTTGTATCAACTCTAAAAGAATTAGACACATTTTTTTTTTTACAGTTATTTGATTGTAAGCAAGTTTAAAATTAAAGTCGACATGAAATGTTCACAGATCATTTTAATTTCAAAAGAAAAATAAATAGGGCTGTACTTGATTTTATATATCAGTAATTGGATCATAAAAAGAGAGCATTACATACCAAATGGGAGTCAAGAAGAAGAAGAAGAAAAAAAAAGTAACCCCCCCAACACACAATTACAATCTAGAGATATTGCAGCTTTTTTTTTTTACTGTCACATATCTTTCTGAAAGGCCCCTTTTGAGTGAGGTATTGATCTGTTATATAAAAGCTCAATGCCACTTCCTGCCACGAGGATGAAGTGTAGATATTGTTCCATCACTTGTAGTTTAGAAATTGCTTTGTCTCAAAACAGAGTTCATAAAAACATTGATACTGTCAGTTTACTAATGCCTATTGTGTTTCACATTCTTTTCACAAATTCAACATTCACACCAGGGTAGCAATATGACAGCTATTTTAGAGAACAGCATAAAAAATACTAATTTCTTTTAATTAAGCAACTCTTTGCATGAATGGTTACATGAAATATGCATGGAAATGGATACATATTTTGCAGTTATTCTGGCCGAACTAAACAAATTCCTATTATGATATCGTAAGTGAAATTTTAAGTGATTATTGTTGTGTTTTGTCAATGTTGTGAGCTTGAAGCAAGCCTTCACTCTTAAAAATAAAGGTGCTTCAAAAGGTTCTTCAAGCGATGCCATAGAAGAACCATTTTTGGTTCCACAAAGAACCATTCAGTCAAAGGTTCTTTAAAGAACCATCTCTTTCTTACCTTTTTATAATCTGAAGAACCTTCTTTCGCCACAAAGAACCTTTTGTGAAACAGAAAGATTCTTCAGATTCAGGTTTTTTATGGAACCATTTAGACAAAAAGGTTCTTCTATGGCATCGTGAAGCACCTTTATTTTTAAGGGGTCATATGATGCGATTTCAATTTTTGGAGTGTTACAAGCCCTTGGTGCATAAAGAAGATCTGTAAAGTTGCAAAGACTAAAGTCTCAAATCCAAAGAGATATTCTTTATAAAAGTTAAGAGTCATATGTCATAAAGACAGCTGATCCGTGCTGGTCGCTGAGGAAATACATCAACTTCGCGCCTACAACAACTCTAAACAACAGATTCATGTAAAGATGCTGCTATTCTGATGGATGAAAGCAACCTGATCAAAGGCCATTCTTATGCTTTATAAATAAAAAAGAACAAAAACAAAATCAAAAGTCTCATTGTTATGTCTATTTGATTTTAGTTTATAAAATATGGCTACATTCACACAGTCAGTTTTTGGGACTGACAAATGATTTGACTTGAGTCTTTCGAGTTAATATCTAATAGCAGACAAAAGCTGTCTTCTTAGACAGGCAGCTAAGTTCAATTCCCACCTGTATTCTCAGAACAGTCTTGAATAACACTGTAACCATAGTGACAGATAATGTCTGCATATCAGACTAATTCTCTGATGGCTTAACTTACAAAAATGTACTAGTACCTTTTTTCTATGGATGTGTATATCATTGTAGGGCTGTCCAATTCTGGCTCCTTTCCATACAGGCAAAGGCCTACTGTAAAGCAGTTTGTTTGTTTGTTTTTAGTTTCTTTTTTCATGTTCAAGGACATTAACATATTCAAAGTTACAAAGAATATAATGCCACTACACTTTAAAAAAAAGTTAGTAATTTTAATGGAAAAACTGTAAATATTGCACAGTTAAACCTGTCAATTAGTTAACTGTAAGTTAACACAGCAAATATGCTACAGTGAAAAATTATATTATATTTAATAAAAAAAACATGCATGTTTTTATTATAAATGGCTGTGAAAATGATATGTTTAATGGACCTAAAAAGTATGAATTTTAATTAGGCCTAACAGTGAAAACAAATTATATTTTGAAAAGCAAATTCCTCTTAAAATACAGTAAAACCAGTAAAAGTAAGTACTTGGGGAACGTGATTTTATTATATTTATTTAAATATTCATGTTGGTTCTTATTTTTAAAGCTATGTAGCCTACATGTTAAATTGTATGTTATGCATTATTTTTTGTCTATACATCTATTCATTTATTTGTCATAGTTTATGACTTTAATGGTCACATTTAGATGCTACAATGACACATTTCTACATTTAAAAACTAAAATTACAACTACCATTGGTGATAAAATTAAACAATAGATGCCCTCACTTAACTAACAGATTGTCAATCCACATGAAAACAAATCACTAATGCATTTTCGTTTAATGCGGATGTGTTTCAAAACCTAATAGTAGGCTATATTAACTTAGCCGGTTGTATCGCGCAGCTGTGTGAACTTGAACGTCCTTTTGTCCAAAACACTCGTATTTAACTGTGTGTAGGTGTTTCTCGGCAATGCACACCGACTGTAGGCCCGATAGCACGCGTTGGCCACTGGGTGTCGCTCTGGAGCAAAAAATGGCGCGGCATCTCCCCCACCCCCTAAACATCTCCGAATGTGTGCATGTGTGCGAATGTGTAGCGCCGAGAAAGTAAGTCTGTGTTTCCAGTTGACTGCTCGCTCTCTCTCAGTGTGTGTGTATGTGTTGTCATTATTATTATCCAGTGTGCTCCCAGCTCAGAATGGCCAGATTCACTCAGACTGAGACAAGAAGGGAGCAGCACCCACAGCCGCCCCATCCCGCTTACTCCAGCCTGCTTTTCACTGGACCCGGGGCAGCACCGACCCAACATCCACTCCTCCTAATCCCGCACCAGCACCAGTACGCTCAGATCCCATTTCCTAAACCCATGAACGGGTCAGAATCCATCTCCATTCATCCGGAGAACGGCACCATGAAAGATCAAGATGCCATAAAACTCTTTATCGGGCAAATACCGCGGAACCTTGAGGAAAAAGACCTGAAACCATTATTCGAACAGTTTGGGAAAATCCACGAATTGACTGTATTAAAGGACCGATACACCGGCATGCACAAAGGTAAACGCGTGATTCCCTTAATAAGAGTCTTGTGATTTTGGGGTGGTAAAACCTACAATAATGTAAAAAATATATACTTTTTGTCTCCTGCACATCATCCATTAGTGACGCGTGCGTTATTGTAATATTTATTTTAAATCAAACGTGTCATTTTTGTCATGTCAACATTAAATACATAACAGTCTGGTGAAACTGTAATATCAGTACCCTTTAGCCACTATTTTGCACTTGAATCGTTTAGAGAGAACTTATCTTCTCAGTCTGAACCTTTGCATTGTTGCTTGTATGAATATTACTATATCACATAACATGGCTGGGAATCTTGCTTTTCTCAACGGCTGTTAATTTTGGAACTGGGGCAAAGAGGCTTACAAGAAAATTCATATTCAAAGAGTCTTTCTTTTGCCATCATTTTACAATGGGGAAATACTCCCACCATCCCAGAGCATCCTTGTGCAATCTGACATGCAGTTCTCACAAACGAACAGGCGTTTTCAGTATGATTAGCCTATATTATTAATATTCTACTATAGTTCAACGTTTTACAAAAACCCCCCCCCAAAAAACGGAGCTATTAAATGCTCCAAACAGGTGCCAGGATACAATGAAACACGCACAAATGAAAATAGAACAGAAAAACGTGCAGCTTCACTTATCTGATTATATTTGCACTTAAAACACGTTCGGTTGTGCGTCATAACGAACTACGGCGCGTTCTACTTGACATCGAATACGTCATATCCCACTCAAACAAGAAGACAAAGAGTAAAATTAAATCTCTATTTTGGTATAATCTCGTTCTTGTCATTTATTGTCCTCAAGCGATGTGTGTTGGAAACAGAATATTCACATTTGTCTTCGTTAGTGTCAGTTACTATTAGGCTTCATATCAGTAGTGTGTTTATAATTATGCTAATAAGGTTCTATTTGCTCAAGCGTTCATCCACGATATTTAGCCCGTGAGAAGCCTTGCTTCATATGGGGTTTAACTGTGTTGAACATGTCAGAGTAATGAGAATATATATTGATTTCGTGGGAGAGAGTTGTGCGTTTTCATTTGGCTAAATTAAACCAAACCAGTTTTAGAAAACGAGGTGAAATGTTAATTTTATTCTTAATTTTAGGTTTCTATGACAAATGGTTCAGCTCTAGAGAGGATATGCATGACAAAATATGCCGTTTCAGAGGAAACTTAAGAAAGTAGCTACATACCACAAGTCGACCGTTATGAAAGCGTGCCAATTCTGACGAGAAATGGCACTCTGTCTGTCCTTCTTTGATCAAACGGCATCAATGGTGACATGTAAGTTGTTATATTATTTGAGGTATTAACTTGTGTAGCAAATAATACAAGACAGAAAAACCAGGGAGGATCCAATCGGAGCTGACTGTTCCTCAATAATAATGGTCCTCTTGGGCATTGATGGATGTCAAGCCTATGTGGATACACCTTATCTAGTGCATTACTGAGAGCTGAATTGTCCCATCAATTAGACCCCTGAAATATAGAGCTTTTCAGTTTGTAGTGCTAAACCCAGAAGAGAATTAGCAAGGAATTTCCAATGGGGTTTTAAAATTGTGATTTTCCATTTATAGCCTAAGTAAAATAAGGTATATGGCAGGGGTCACCAGACACGGTCCTGGAGGGCCAGTGTCCTGCACAGTTTTGCTCCAACCCTAATCAAACACACCTGAACCAGCTAATCAAGGTCTTACTAGGTATACTTGGAACTTCCAGGCAGGTGAGTTGAGGCAAGCGGGAGCTAAAGTCTGCAGGACACCGGCCCTCCAGGATCAAGTTTGGTGACCCCTGGTCTATGGTTAATAATACCAGAGACATTTACATTTATTTATGCATAAATTATGCACAGATGTACTTAAGATGTGGAATTTGAATCCACTGTTTTCTCAAAATGTAAGTTGGTAATAAACACAAGGATGTGACCACTATTCTTAAAACCTTTATGTAATTCCTGAAGACTAACAAATTTGTTTGTGTGTTTGTATTTATTATGGCTGGTTACATACATATTAGTTGAATGTCATCAGTGCCAGATTACAACATCATAGGCCCACTTTTTTCCATCCTAACCTACCAGATTGTACTTGTGATGTGTGCCTCTGGGACAGGAACTGAATATGAGTTCTAAAGGATCGTACAGAGAATTAATTCTTCAGGATGGAATTTCTTTTCATCTTATGTATTATTCTATGAGGGGATGTGAAGATAAGAACAAGTCAGCAAATATTTACATACACTTTTTGTCAGTTTATAGAGATTGTGCAGTCTTGCGAGTAGTCTCAATATGGACTGCATTGGTGATGTAGACCCCAAGGTTGTTTAAATGTTTGGCTAAAACGTCGCTGAGGATGCTAATGTAATTTTTTCCCCCCGAAACGTGACAGAGGAGCACAACAGAAGAATGTTTGCGTTAATGTCAGTGCTCATTGGGTAGAGCCTACTGTTTGTATATGCAATTCACAAAATTTTATTTAAAGGGGTCATATGATGCGATTTCAATTTTTCTTTTCTCTTTGGAGTGTTACAAGCTCTTGGCGCATAAAGAAGATCTGTAAAGTTGCAAAGACTAAAGTCTCAAATCCAAAGAGATATTCTTTATAAAAGTATTTTTAGCAACATCATATGACCCCTTTAAGATAAGCATTTTAGTTGTGCAAAACAAGACATTTGTGCATGTTTCATCATTAATTTCTGGTTTAAAGGGTTCTCCGGACTAAAGGGATCAAATGTAGGTTTCAGAGTGGGGAACATGTTTCGGCGCCAAGTCATCTTGCTAATCCACACAGGAAAACACAGCATTAGTTTGCTAAGCGCGGTAATAAACCATGACCGTAATGACGGAGGAGGATTAGCAACTGTAGTTATTGTCTGAGGTTGCAGTCGTTCAGATCTCTTGGTTTGTCCCTCTACAGTGGCTGCATCTTTGCAATTAAAGCATGCTGTAGTCATCATAGCCTGCGGTGTTCAGTATGAACAACTATTATGAGGTCTGTTCAACTGCTGTCTCTTGATTTGTATTAACAGGTGAGCTTTTCCCCTTTAGGTTTTTCACCTGTGATCAGTTGAGCTCAGCATTTTATTAAAGTTTTTATATTAAGTATGGAGTTGGAAATGGGTTTTACACTCACAGATTTGCCTGCAAAGCTTGAGACACTTGCTATGCTTTATTTGTAATCGTACGTGAACGTAGTATATAGATCTCTTGCTGCGTTTAGCATAAATAGACTATTGTTGCATTGCTTTGAAAGCTTCTTATGCACATTTTGCACTCTGCAGGTGAAGATGTCCAAGGATAAGCTTGCTTTAGCTTACAATACAAAAGACATGGAGAGCATTTGAACACTATACACAAACATATACAAGGTTCTTTAGACCTAAACCTGATGCTGTCTGATTGTCTGTGCATGCTGCTCCATTCACATATGCCACTATAGAGTGTCAATACTTAACTGCTTTCAAGGGACCTTTTGTGCTAATGCATTCATGAGGGATTGAGAAATAAGATTGACATCTTAGAAATATTCTTATTAAACAGTATTAAACAGTGTTCATTTGTGTCTTTTCTCATGCGGATAGATTTAACAGTAGGGGGCCTTGCAAAAGCTGAAAGCCAGGCTACAGATAGGTTCAGTGCTTATAAATTTAAAGGTAACCTTGTTGGACAGTCATTTGAAAGTAGTTGCTATTTCCAGTATTGTAAAGAGTTAAGTTAGGAGTGAGATTGTTCCAAGGCCTTGCAGAAAAATTACATCACAAATCCCTTATTAATAGAAAGATGAAACCTATTTTGTATGGCTTGCCAAGAACCATTTTTTAAGTTTTTTATTAAAGGTCTATTTTGATTTGTATTCTGGTAAAAAAATTTGTGTAGAATTTTGTGATTTTCAGTAAATTCTATTAGTTTTGAGGCCTTCTAAAAGCTTAAAAGATGTACGTAATACAATTTACAGTTTTCCTCTAAAGTGGACCAAAAATAATGACTACCTATGTTGTACCCACAGGTGTTTACAATTTTTAAAAGTAAAATAGATAAATAAAAAATAAAATAAATGTAGTTCAAGCCTGTGATGTAATCTAAAAACTACAAGGCTTTTGATGACTGCTGTTTCAACCCCAATTTCAAGTTTCATAAGGAAACTTGTCAACCAATGAATAAAAATGCAATTGTTGAGTGATTTTCATTGGGTCTTTAATAAGAGGAGGTCATGGGCTCAAATATATCCAATGGCTTCTTTAAAAGTAGTCTGACAGTCCAAAGACCCAAACATCTATAAATACTATAATATGCTACAAGGCTGATTCATAAAAAATGCAATGCTTCAGCAGCTCACCTGGCAGGAACTGTAGCTCTGAATGTCAAGATGTTCCCTCCTCTACCAGCGAGCTTTGCTTTGAGCTACTTGTCTTTTCATGTGAACTGGCCACTTATCTCCCCTTTACCTACTTTTAGATGGACTCTCCTCCATGTGTAGAAGGTTATTTTTCTTTTTAGGTGGAAAATGTTTTTTTTTAAGGCCATTACCATTTATCAGGAGATGGCACTTACAGTAGAGTATTCTAGACAACCCTCTGTGGAAAGAGGTTCAGTGACCTTCCGTAACATGTCCGTTTGGTGGACCCGAGCATAAAACACAAAAGCGAAATTATTGATGCGCTATTCTAAGATGCTGTGAATCTCTCCCTTGTGACCATTTTTACAGTGGATAATAAGCTGGTCTTCAAACGTGTCATAATGTCCGCTGTGTTTGCTAATAGAAAAGCCCACCCGATTCTTTCTGCTTTGTGCTGCTTAACCAGATTGTTCTGTAATTCAAAAACACCACTCGATGCTGTAGGATTCAATAAAATTAACTTATTAATCAGTTTTTTTTTAAAATTAAGCTTAATTGATAAACAAAATAATGTTACTGTTCAGTTAAAACCTTTTTTGGGTGTGAACTGAAAATGTTATGTCATCATTATGTGAATTTCATTTCAT